TTCCTGTTCAAGCTGGCTTCAAACTGAAACCCTCAGATCTCAACCTTTTGAGTAGCTGAGATTACAGGCATGAGCCACCAGTGCCTAACTGCAATGGGATCTTAGAACTGGTAGTAGTATTGGGAATCTTCAGGCCTCCTGCTCACCTCTTCCCAAAGCCATGTGATTTGTTTCTCTGTCTGTGTGAGTTATTGTTACATTGGTGGTAGTGGTGCACTGCAGCCTACACAGCTGCATGAATAGTTGAGTCCAGGACTCTGAGGTGATGTTTGTGATCTCAAATATACATCCAGTAGGTTCACTCAATTGTTTAGCCATTGCCATTCTTATTCCAGAACTTTCCATCACCCCAATGATCTCTTTATTTACCTATTTATTTACTTGGTGGCACTACTGTTGTAATTCAAGTCTTGTGCTTGCTGGGCATTTTGCTTTATTTTTCAGATAGGGTCTCATTTTCTCAGGGGACAGCCTATCCCAAGTATCTCCAAGACTGGCTGGGCTCCACGACCTTCCTATCACCACGTCTTAAGTATCTAGTGCCCTAGTTATCTCTACTTAATAAACCTTTTTATCACAGCTTCTATCAGATAGGAAGATGGAGTGATTTTAACTACATCTTTTGTTTGTTTTCTTTATTAGATAAACAAAAAAAACCCATGGCAAAAATCAGAAAAAAAATAGGCTTAGATTTGTGAGCTGAGTTTATGGTAGTAAGTTTTATGTTAATAACCTAAACATTTAATCACAGACCAGTTCAACTTGGGCAAAAATAATAAACAACCTCTTCTTCAGCTCTTGAACTGAGAAGCAGGTTTTTACAAACCTTTGGTCTAGTTGTTTTTAGTGCTAGTTACTGAGCATTTCCCCATGTTAAACATGATCTTAGGTAATCCTCCTGCCACTCTAGGGAAGTACATGATCTATGCCAATTTCATAATCTTCAAACTTAAAGTTCAAAAATGAGACTTTGGGAAGTTAGGTTATTGATCTGAAGTCCTTAAACCAGTTAATTAACCTAGAGTAAAAACTGCTTGCCAAATGTGAGTTGTAAGCATTGCTTTCTTTAGAGGCATCTAAAATATTTAGAAAAGGAAGAATGTATTTTTCCTGTGTTTCTCCTTTGTGTCTTTTAGGAAAAGTTGTATTGTCAAAGGAGAACAATTAGACTGATATTCAAAGTTATAAAATTCCATTCAGAACCAGGTATTCTTTCCTTTGAGCTTGCACAGTGCTCTAGGGTTGGCCAGTGACCTGTGGCTGGGTGCGGGTCCCCTGTGGGACAGTTCCTTTGTGGAACCTGAGGCTCCTCTTGGGTCACCAGACTTTCCCCTAAACTTAAATAGAAACCTGACCGAACTCCATTGATTTTAACTGGAGTACAGTGCTATGGCTGGAAGCAAGATTCGTTTTTAGCTTTGATTTCAAAAACCTGATGAACTTTCCCCCTGAAAGTTCATGTGGCTGGGCATGGCAGAGTACTTCTCTCAAACAGATTCGAGTCATCAAAACCCATCCTGCTTTCAATTTATTTTTTTTAACTAAAACACTGCTTTGGCCCTCAAGGAGGCCCCACTCAGAAGTCTCCTTGAGCCAGGCCCAAAGGGCCCAGAGCCTGCATAGCTCAGGCTCTGCCAGGGCTCCTGGCACTGTCCACAGGCCCAGGTCACTTTTGCACAGGTCTGCTCTGCTCTCCACTCTTAGGCCCAGGCCACCACAAGTTGGAATGCAGTCCCAAACAAATCCTAGTTTTCCTTGATAAGATTGTTTGCTGTTTCACTGGAGACAGATTTTTTTAAAGCTAAATAGAAACCCATACATATCTTTTTTGCTTAACACTTTTCAAATTTTACAACTGCCAGTTGAGAGATGTACCTTTCCATTTCTGCTTTAAAGTGTTTTTTGTTTTTTTTGTTTTTTCTCACCATGCTGAGTTCTTCTCACAGTAATATGAGACAGTCTTGGGAGGACTTATTAAACCACAGGTCCTGAGCCACCCCCAACTCTAATTCTCAAGGTTGGAGCCCAGTAGCAGGAATTTATATTTCATGGGCTAAGGGTGTAACTCAGTGGTAGAGCTCCTTCTTAGGTGGTTTTGGGTTCAGTTCCCCAGCACCTCAGTAGTAGAGAGGAGGGGAGAATCAACATTTCTAACAAGTTCCCAAGTGACTCTATTTTGATAATCTTTATGCATAATGCCTTCCAAATGAATAATCCCTAATTATTTATTTACTTATTGTCAATTTTTAATTGATGTTAGGCACTCAGGTCCAGTGAGGAAATGAATGACTAGACGAATGGAAAACCCCTCAGCTCAGTTCTGTTTATAGTCCCATCACTGATCTTTCCATGTCTTTCACTAAACTTTGATCAAACATAACCACAAATTTACTTTATTGGACATCCTTGGCATTAAGCAATATATGAAATAGATCCAAGGAGGAGAGGTAACTCTTTGAAGGCTTCACATCATTCTAATGTTTTTTAATTGCCCCGGTAATCCTCTAGAGTCTCAAAGCGAAACAATACACAAGCCATTTCACCCTAGGGTGCTTAGTGAAGGAGCCAGCAAAAAGATTCTGCCTTTGCAGAGGTTGGTTTAGAGGCCTACTCCCACTGCCAAGCAATTGCTTTTAATCCTGCTTGCCCATGACTGCATTCGCTGCACGTCTAAAAGGGCGTTTGTGGGGCAAAGAGCGAGGCGCACTGTGCTGGGGGGGCACAGGTGCACACATGCGAGCACACATGCACGCTTGTCAGTGTGCCAGTACTGAGGCTTGAACTCAGGACCTTGTGTTCTCTCCTGGCTTTTTCACTCAAGGCTGGCATTCTACCATTTGAACCACACCTCCATTTCCAGCTTGTTTTGCTGCTTAATTGGAGATAAGAATCTCATGGGCTTTTCTATAACTAGGATTACAGGCCTGAGCCATCAATGCCCAGCTAAAATTTTCTGGGTTTTAGACAAAGATATGGCTGGATTCTGTACTTACGCATGTTGCTGAGCTCACAGCTGTAGTATGGCCACATATTGAATCCATGGACCTTACGTTGTCCCTTCCCTTAGATGGCCCAAATCTGGACCTAAATCCTCCCCCATTCTCTCAGGTTTCTGCTCAAATCCCGTCCCCTACACCCATGAACACTTTGTTTCTCCCCTCCTTTCTATTAATTGCTGTCTTTTGTTTGGGTTGTTGTGCCATTACTGGGTTTGAATTCAGGAACTTGAATTCTTGCTTGGCATTTTCACTCAAGGCCTACACTCCATTACTTGAGCCACAACCCCACTTCTGGCTTCTTGCTGGTTCACTGGAGGTAAGACTCTCTCAGATTTGTCTGCTCAGGTTGGCTTTGAACCCAGATTCTCAAGTGCTTTGATCACATCATCCTGAGTAGCTAAGATTATAGTTATGAGCCACAGGTATCCAACTGGTTTGTTCCTTCTCACTGGTGAGCAGTATTCCATTTTGGGGGCATAGCAGTATGTCTGTTTCCTGTCTGGTTATATACAAGTCCTTTCCCTGTTGAAATGTGTTTTCCTTCTCTTTAGGCAAATACCTAGGGACAAAATATCTGGGTGATAGGGTGGAGGGGTGTTTAGTTTATAAGAAACTGCTGGACTTTTTTTTCTAAAGGTAATATCACTTCACCCTTTCACTACAAGCATGCCTATGTGAGCCCCCTGCCTGACTGTGTTCCACTGTATCTTCTACTTCTTTCTTGCTACCTCTTTATTTACAGCAACCTCCTATGTTATTAAATGAGGAAGTTTTGCTACCAGAGCTTTTTTAGTGACTTCTCTTTATTTTTTGGTTTTGAAGTTTTATTTTATTGCATACATTTTACAAAGAGAAGCCTTCTAATGCTACACACAATTCCATAACCAAATATTTCAAAGTTATTAAAATTATTCAACTTTTTTGTTTAAAACTATAGTCCAAGAAATCTTTTTAAGAAGTCTTTACAGACAGCTGTGTGTGTGTGTGTGTGTGTGTGTGTGTGTGTGTGTGTGTGTGTGTGTGTGTGTGTGTGTGTGTGTGTGTGTGTGTGTGTATGCTGGTATAGGGTCTTGAGCTCTTGATTGGCTTTTTTGCTTGAGGGTATTATTCTACCACTTGAGCCATACTTGTACTTTGAGCTTTTTGGTGGTTAATTGGAGATAAGAGTCTTACAAGCTTTCTAATCAGCACTCAGCATACAGTACATACAGTAGTATATTTTTGAGCTGGTTTTAAACGTGCCTATCTGCTATTCAGTGACATTCTTCATTGAACAATTCATAAGGTACAAAGATAGTTCTCAAAGACAAAGGAATATGGAGGAAAAACTAACTTGATTCTGATACAAGATTTTTGCAAAGAATTAATACTTGTTGGCTGTGTGCCAGTGGCTCACACCAGTAATCCTAGGAACTCAGGACCCTAAGATCTGAAGACCAAAGTTCAATGCCAGCTTGGGCAGAAAAGTTTGTGAGACTTATCTCCAATTAACCACCCAAAAACCAGAAGTTAGGTATGACTCGAATGGTTGAGTACTAGCCTTGAATGAAAAATCCAAGTAAGAGCATGAATTCCTGAGTCCAAGCCACACTACTGATACAAAAGAAAAGAAAAGAAAAGAAATTTCTGAGTCATCTCAAAGATAACTAAAAGAAAATACTGAATCTTTTAACATCATTTGAAGTAGACAGTACTACCTACAGTAACAGGTATTTGGTGGGAAAAAAATTTTGTGAGAAGTATAGTTAGGGCTTAATCTCTAACGTAAGTGTTGATTAGAAAGTACAAATGTTTTCTAGTCATGAATAGAGTCAAGGCCTACAAGGTTATGAAATATCCTCATATTCAAGTTGTACAGCCAAAATAACCCTACCTGCCTCCTCCATCTCAGTCCCAGTTCCCATCCCCATCCCCCCCATCCCTGTCCTGTCTTGTGGCATGCCATTTTAGATCTGTGGCCTGTCACTCTCGTGTTGCTGAGCCTGCTCCCTTTGGTCACAGGTATGCTCCAGAAGAGCCCTTCCATCGATGACTTTGTGGGCGCCCTCGTTTCTGACTTGGATCTGGACTTCGAAACTTTCCTCATGGATTCTGAATAATGGGTTCTGAAATAATGAACTGACTTTTAACTCAGGTTATGTGGTTTGATATAACTTTAAATGGATGGGACTTGGAATAAATAATCTGTTTGAATTATACCGACTGGTTTGTCACCTGCTTAGCAAGTTTTGATCCCAGTGAAATTTCCACACGGTGGTGATAAGCCCAGGTTTGGGCATTGTATGGTTGTTATCCTGGTTCTCTCTTTAGAGCTAGTCCCCTTTCTGCTGATCTTTAACTTATTAAAAACTAGGACAAGTAAAATTATTTCTGTGTATAATAAATTGAAACTGTCTTTAGAAAAGTCATGCCAAGGGTCTGGGAATGTGTCCTGCCTAGCATGCATGAAGCTCTGGGTTCGATTCCTCAGTACCGCATAAAAAGGGAAAAAAGCCAGAAGTGGTGAAATCTTGAAGTGGTGCTGTGGCTCAGGTGGTAGAGTGCTAGCCTTGAGCAGAAGAAGCTCAGGGACAGTGATTAGGCCCTGAGTTCAAGCCCCAGGACTGGCAAAAAAAAAAAAAAAAAGTCATGCCAAGGTTTTTGAAGAATGGTTCTTTTTCTTTTTTTTTCCTTCCTTCCTTCCTTCCCTCCTTCCTTCCTTTCTTTCTTTCTTTCTTTCTTTCTTTCTTCCTCCTCCTCCTCCTCCTCTTCCTCCTCTTCCTCCTCTTCCTCCTCTTCCTCCTCCTCCTCCTC